TTCACAAAGCAGTGAATCAGTAATCTCAACTATAATCGATCAATAGTTCAACAAATATTATATTTAATCTGATAGATAATTTAATTATAACATATTTTACTTTAATTATAACATATTTTACTTAGTTTAATCATAAGGTTAAATGCATGAAATAACAACCTGTTTTCATAAATTTTCTTATTATAATATTATACTTTTGTTTTTCTTTATTACAACAATGTAATTTCAAATTATTTTTTATTAAGGCATCGACTTTAAAAAATCTATCCATTATAACAATGAGTAATCTGTTACATTTTAAACCGGTTAACTTCTTTTTTAGGCCTATTAGCCCATGGGCAAGCCGGAACCGTTTTAAGGATAGGTATAAGCAAGTTTCAAACATGTAGAAAAAGGTTTGGATTTACCATGTTAGGCCCGTTAAACAAGAGCAATAGATTAGACCCGGTCCAATGCCTCATATGATCAATACTCAATAATAGTACAAGTCTCGAATAACTATCGCTCAACAATAAACAATTAACTTGCATACATACACTAAAACTTTTGTATACCAATATGATGCAACAAAATGTACAACCAAAAATTAAATTGCAACATTCATTTGTTTATTTAGTTGGTTGACCTTATATTAGGAACATTAGTAAATGTTTCTAAAAACTCGGTTTTTAACATTTAAGGAAAGAAAAATCATGTGTGATTTAAGTACAAAATCACATGTGATTTAACTGTTCTTGTGATATATTATAGATATAATAGATAATCAAATGCTCGCATAAGAGTCTCCCATAGTACAACATATAACTCTCTATCAAACTTCGTTAACTTTCATGACCACAACTCGCTATTTGGGGACACAAAGCCGGTCCTCGCATTATACGATCGAGTCATTGTAGAATGAAGAGAGAGATACACAGCAATTCATCAAGTGAGAGTTTTCTGAACCAGATTTCGTGAATATCTACATATAACATTCCAAGTCACTGCCAAAACAAGATTAGAGCATTAGAATCTTTTAAAGTTGTGATATATATAGTTCATATAGAGTCGGGTTCAAACGAGAACGATGACCAAATAAAAAGCCACAAGAACACCCAAATCATATGCGAATAAAGTAATCATATGCGATTTTAGTGCAATATCACATGTGATTTGACTCTTATTGTTCTTGTGTTCTCTTTATTGGTCCTCCCTCTAGTTCAATAATTCATGAGTTTGATTTTAGTATATACTCACTCATAGCTTGAGTTACTCTTCTTCCATCTGGAGTAACGAACTTTGTTGGTTTAGCGACTATAGCCGGTCCACAGGCATAGCCAGGGCCAGGTGCAAGCAAGGTGAAGTTCTTCGGTAGTTTAACCGTTCTGTTAGTGGTTCCGGCTGTACCAACGGTAACCTGGAATGCACTAGCATCCCATGAATCGACAACACCTCCTTTACAGCAATTTGCAATCTGCTGATTGTAAGGGGTTCCWGGTAATAAATCSACAACCGWTGGAGTTTTCTTGCARCAATGTGGTRKTGCACYTTTAWATYTYGAACAATCTCCTTGMTCGGTGGYTTGACTGCCCATCATGSTCCATATCACCTCTTTCTTAGCCCAGGTCCAACCTAAGGTCCAMCCCGGAYSSGAAATCTGGCGGTATTGCTGGAAATTATACATCGTAACCACTGCCTGAACAAAAACCCAATCCCCATCATAATCTTTTATATGAGTTTATAATCGAGTTAGCAACATCAAAGATCTTGAATTCATGGGTATTATTGATGATTATGAACTTACAACATAGCCATCAGGGGTCCAACTCATGATATCCCATTTGATTGTGATGTTTCCATTCGGATCAAGTGTTTTATACCCTTCTGCAAATTAACCAGAAAAACACAAGGCTCAAGAGCTGTTCATGGTCAAAGCCCTAAACTTTGTGAAAGGAAGGGTTTCATAGAAGGAATTTCCGTCAGAAACACAAAATTGGTTAGGAAGATGAATATTTATGATGAAGAACACATTAATGATTGATATGAAGGTGTTAATCATCACAAAATTAATCGAAAACAAGAACCAGAGAGTTCAAGAAGTCAAATGTAAAGAAGGTTCAAACCTGTGGAAGTCAAACTGAAGGATGAAAGCAAGATAGCAAGAACAATGGTGGAAATTGAAAATCTGGAGAGAGATTTGAAGCAGTAATGCATTGCTGCCCTTCTGTCCTTCACAAAGCAGTGAATCAGCGATGACTCGTTATGAGTGTAACCCCAAAACGGGCAATTTATGGGCTTGCTTCAGAGATTCTATCTCGCATAATGGTGGTCGTCGCTTAAATCTCTGTATATCATCCAAAATTTCTATTTCTGTTTTTTTAATTTTCAATTTTCAGTTTTAAATATAATTAAATAGATGTTTATATTTAATATATCAATTTGATAGCGTTGATCAAGGGTTTTTCGTGAGACTCGTAAGACCAATTTATGTTCATTGATCAACTTTATAAGCTAAGATGGTCTAAAGTTGTACGATGACAATTTTGTGATTATTGAAAAGTCTCGTGACAATTTTGTGATTATGAATGTTCAGATTATAGATCTAATCCAAGAGCTAATAATTAGTCTTACGAGTCTCACGAAAAACATTTGGTCTCACATGATCACAAGTCTCAATTTGATATTCGTTCGTGTTTATTAATCTAATTCTATAAAAATAGCTTGTAAATTTAAATAACAACAAACGAAATATTAACAAATAATAATTTTATAACGAATAAACTACAAGTTTGGTCTTTGTGGTTTATTAAAAACAACAATCACAAAATAGCTATCGTAGTTTGCAAAAACGTTCGGATTTGGTGTCTTTCTATAACGGTCATTAAATGAGAGGCAATTTCGTCTATTTATCAATTTTTTGTCTTTTACCTTATTAAAAACCACACATGGGGACCAAAACGACTTTAATGGATAAAATAACGAAAATGATTCTTATTTAATGGAATTTTTAACGACCATTATAGAAAATGACCAAATCCAGACGTAATTGCAAACCACGATAACAATCTTGTAATTCTGAAATTTCATGGATATATTAGTGATTTGTTTAAATTATTATATTATGTAATACTATCATTGAGTAACTTTATCGTGTTCTTTTATTTATCGTTTTAAATTCGTCGACTAAATTATCACCTAAAACATGATCAATTTCTTAACATATAACTAACTTATCAATTAGTTTATCAAGCATAACCAATTTATTAAAAACCAACCGACCTCTCTAGAGTCTAGTCCAGTTTCAAACCACCAATAGACCAACGACCCCTATTTCGAACAAAGACTTCTTTATCGATTCTAAACTAAACAATCTTGGGTAACTATCACATAGACGGTGTCACCTATCTAGTGATTTAGCCACAAGTTATGGAAAGAAAAAGGTTTGTCTTGGGATGTTAATCAAAAGGAGACCTATCATGAAAGAAAAAAAAAAGGAATCCAACAACTCTTGTTTTCTTCTATTAATTTGGATATCTAATCCGTTATGCGAATCGATTAATTTCGGAACGACACCCTGCTTTTTACATAGCTTAGAGTCACCGTATATCAACCTCATTGGCCGCAAGAATTTTTTTATTTCTCATTGAATTTAAACCTGAGACTTCAAACACTTTTAATATTTGGAGTCCATGCTCAAACCAATCAGATAATTTTTGGTCTTGGAGTATATATATTTTATGGTTTTAAAAAATAAAATATTAAAATTACGGTTTTTTTGGCATGGATCTTTAAAATATAATTTATTTGAATACAAGTTTATTTGGTTATAAGGGGCGTTGGAAGTGTCTCTCGATTTGTTAAATAATAAATAGTTAAAATACAGCCGTATCCAATTGATTGTTGACGAAGTCGACGTTATGTCCATTCTATATTTCTCGACCCGTTTGGGTTTTAAAAGTCAGTGTCCGTTCTAACTAGCGATTATTATTAGTAAGATCTAACATTTTTATTTAACATATCAGTTATAATTTTAATCTATTAAAACAATATCGTATGCAACATTTTTATTCGATAAACGTTTATCTGATAAGAGTCGTCACTCTTACTTATCGGATAAGACTCTCAATCTTGTCATATTCATCCGATAAGGTAAATTGATCCAATAATGACAAACGGCCCCTAAATCACACACTAGAAATTTAAAAACGCAAGTTTTCATGTTGATATAAATAATGAAAAAATTAGTAGTTATAGGTGTATTTAACAAGGTGAATGGCTGCATTTAATTGGTATAATTTTGTGTTATGTTGTTTCACATTGTTAAATACTTTAAGTCAGCTTGCATTAAATTTAATTTAAGTTTATTTTTATCTTCGGGACCAATTCTTTGTTGAAGAGGTCAATAACTAATACTATATTATAAAACATTTGATAAAAATTCTTAAAAACCATTTTTTATATATGAATTACTGTTTATTGATGCATATTACTTAAAATTCAAGATTACAAGTAAATTGTGCGCAAATACAATTTATGAAGCTCCATGTTTGAATTCGTGTAAATGATTGTATAATCAAATACATAATAAAATTCTCATTTTAAATATAAAATCTAAAATATAATTAACACAATTATTGAGTTCTAACAGAATACTTAATTATTATATCTATAAAAATTATATTATTAAACCAAAAATAAATTATTTCGTCATTAAACCTAAATTAAATTATAATTAAAAATTTGAATTAACGAAATTATAAAAAAATGATAACTTATATATATATATATATATTTAATTTTTATGATATCTTCAAATTTATATTTTATTAAGAAAAACATTATTGTTTGCTCAAAACCACATAAATTCGTATTATAACATCAACAGAGACCAAAAATAAAATAAAATGAAACATTGAAATCGAGATATATCTCGCTGTATTATATGAGTACTTTTCTACTTTTAAAAAATAAAAATGAGAAACTTGATGAGGACAAGACCAAAACCAACGAACTTCCGATTCATAATCCAAAATGTTTCTTGAAATTTAATAAATTAATACTATGTTAATTATATCAACTATTAATTAATATTAATTAGTAATTAATTTTAATTTTAATTATACATTATACAATACGCATTAATATTAACTATTTACAGTAATATTAATCATATCAATTATTTTTATAATTATTGTTCAATATATTTAGTTATCAAAAAATAAATATAAAAAATTTAAGAATATTTATGTAAGTTATATAAAATTATTTATTTTGTTCATAGATAACAAGAAAGTGTTAAATAATTCTAATAAAATATTTAATTTTTTTATAGAAATGTTGATAAAATTGTCTCAAGAGATATAGTAAAAGAAGGATGATAAGTTGTTATAAAAAGAAAAAAAGGTGAATGAAGTTTGTAACTTTATGTTTTTGATTCTGAAGTTTGATGTGCATCCCTTTAGTTTTTTAAAATTTAATAGAACATCTTTAAGTTTTATAATTTATAAGAGAAGAAGGTAAAATTTCTTAAATTTCGACGGATGAGTTTGATTTGAGTAGGAATTTGAGCTTCAAATGAGTTCGAGTTTAAAAAAATTGTAATCGAATCGAGTTTAGTTTTTAAATATTCATGAGTTTTAGAGTCGAGTTTGAACATAAGAAATGCCTATCGAGTTCGAATCGAATATATTGATACTCGATATCGACTTGCATCATTTACACTTCTAAGTGACTTCATACTTTTATCATTTTTTTTAGAAGATGTATCAGCAACATAACTATGTGTACGAAGGGAATAAATGTACAAACATACATAATTTTTAGCAAAAAATAACCATCAATTCTTCATTTTTTTCTCAAACTATAATCAATAGTTTACGGTACACTATATTTAATCTGATAGATAATTTAATCATAACATTTAATTTCTATATATATATATATATATATATAGATCACATGAGATCTCTGAGACCATTTTTTTATACTTGAAACTTTACAGCAAAATGCTGTAAATGTAACGTCACAATATTTTTGCGAAGGTTTGGGTTTTTCTTTACCAAATGCTGTGAAGTTTAAAATGGAAAAAATGGTCACGAGTCTTATGAAAACGAAAACAGGCTAGTTTGATGCGAAACCACACACAGACATATATATATATATATATATATATATATATGCTCTGAAAAACATGATTATGTATAAATGTATACGTATATAATGTTTTTTTTTTTCATTTTCAAGAAAAGAAACTTCAACACTAGTCTTTGATCTTAATGCAACAAAACCTATATATACTCTATACATTTTGTAGAACACATATTTGCAAAACAAACTATACAAAAGACTCTGAAATAGAGTTCTAATATACCATCTACTCTAACACCAAGAAACTCTTACTGCTACTGCTACTGCTACTGATGCTTATGATTTCTTGAAGCGGCTTCCATGTCTCGTAACAGGTACGGTATCAACAACTCCGGTGGCTCCTCCAACGTCATGCATTCCTCCCATTGCCTTCCGCCTAGTTTCGCCAACTGATCTGCACAATGGTTGCCATCTCTTTTTGTATGAATCATGCTGCACCTTTGTTCCCACATTAATCGCTGAATGGCGTCGATCACAGATTTCAGGGGATGATCGTCATCCAGTTCTCTCGCCGTAAGCCGCACAGCAGCCAGGCAGTCGGTTTCGATCAACAAGAATGACAGATTCATTATCTTGATTAAACACAAGCCATTGAATATGCCCCAAAGTTCAGCCTGGAGAGCCGTATAAGATCCGCCATGCATCTTGCCCATGTATCCACACAGCCATCTTCCTTTGCTGTCTCTGATTAATCCCCCGAAACTGGAAGGACCCGGATTCCCTCTGGAACTTCCATCAGTGTTTAACTTGAGAAGATGAAGGGAAGGGAAGGTCCAGGTGCATTTGCCGGGCAGCAAGCTGTAGTAGTCGCGGGTTTGCGCAAGTAGATTCATGAGGCCTTGTAGTTGCTGTTGCTCCAGTTGTTTCTGACGCAAAATACGAGGAGGATGTTGATAAGCAGGAGGGAAGGGGGTGATGGTGGGCATGAAAACGATCGGATTTTCCATTTCGTATGGGGTGATGAGTTTGAGTATTGAGTAGTGATGTGGAAATGGCGAATGGAAAAGGGGGGTGGTTTAAATACAAGTGGGGGGATTGGATTAAGGAAAGTATGGGGTAATTCAAATGAAATCAAGATTATTTATGAGGATATATAGCTTCCATTTCTCAAATGATATCTTGATGATGATGATTTTGTTTAATCATAAGAAATTA